GAAGTGACTTAAGCTTCCCAGTGTTGTGCTTTAACCTGCTGCCCCACCAGGGAGGGCCCTAGATGGCTTTCTTAATGTATCTTCCAAAGTTTGTTTTACTTACTAATTTAACCTAATTTGAAGTCAAACAACAGAAATAGCTGTAGTATCTTATAATTGAAAATCATTGAGAGGTTGTCAAGGTTGAATCTCTGCCTAAAGTAGAGGTCTTATATACCTGGGTATCCTCTTGGCAAATAACTCAATAACATAACTCATTCCATTTCCGAATATCTCTGGTAATTTTTGCTAAGCTAAAACTCTCTGCCAAAATCTACATCCTTTGAGCATTAATTAATCCCTTGGTCTTAGATACCAAGTTTAGAACAGGATAAAAAAGATAATTAGGGCTTTCTTAAGACTTGTCCTCACTATATGTGTAAGAGATAAATTCATTTGATTATCTAACAAATACTAAGAACTCTATACTAAGAACTGTACTAGTTGCTGGATAACAGTAGTGAACACCGTAGAAATGACCACTGCCGTCACAGAATTTACAGACTATTAAGAAGATATACAATCAGTAATCAAATGTATTATTTCAAAATCTGACATGCTATAAAATTATATAAAAACAGGACAAGCATAGGTAAACTAGAGAAAACATTTGCAACATTAGTTAATATTGATGGCATTGTATGTTACTTGATACTGTATTTTATAGAGCAAAAATCACAAACATTAACAGACTTTAAAACTGGAGGCACTAATATCAGACTATTATTAATTAGTGATTTTTTTTAAAGATTTTATTTATGCATATAAAAGTGGGGTTCAGGGACCATGACAGAATTCACCAGAAACAGAGTGGGGAACAGAACAGGCATATCTATGAAGTACACTGCTGAAGGGAGCAGTGGTTAGGTCAAGAGAGTCTGCCATGTGGGTCACCTCCAGGGCTGGGGTTTAAACTGGCACTGAAGCTGCCATGGCCAGCTTCACCGTGCTGTACTCCAGCCTGCTGTGTCACCAGGGAGGGCCCAGACATCATTGATTCTTGAGGAACCAGATAGATTTGTAATGTTAACATGATATTTGGACATCTAAATTTACAGTAATAGGATAAAAACTGAATTAAAGGAACTGTATTCTGATTCCAACACCCCATTAATTTAGCTGAGGAACATTTGGAAACTGAAATCATCTTTGTGGCCTCATTATTTCATCTACAGGACTATCATTTCAAGTAGTAGACTCTAAGGATCTGTCTGTTTCTTGACTTTCTATAATTCTGTGCTGGGCATAGTCATCAATAATAATTGAGTTAGAGTAACTTTTAGATCTCTAAAAATGTATGGTAAAGTCAAGTCACTGAAAATTTAATGATCAACTGAAATGTGTACAAGAGTATATGTGAAGAAGGTCCTTCACAAGCAGTCAAATATATACAGCTCCTGACCTTTTCCATAATCTTCAGCAGTATATTTTCAAATCGTTATACTTATGACTTATTCATTTCCTTCACAATCGATCACACAATGAATATCTGGTTGATGTCACAATCTCCCACTTGTAACAAGCCTAATAATTTCCATTTTGTGCTCAATATTTCTGTTTTACCAAGAATTGAAGAAAAGAAAATACTAGTATCAAAAATGATGAAAATGCCAAAACTAAACTATTGCTTGCAAGCAGTATTAACAGGAAAAACCTTTAAATTGTCCATTTGTCAGCTGACTTCTGAATATACAAATGCCATACATAGGCGTCATTATAAAAGTCTACATATAGTGAATAAAAGCTTGGATTTATAGTTGAAGACTGTCTGTACTATTGTAATAATCTTCCAGGGTTTAAGTTGTAAGTTAAAAGATGATTTAAAGGTGCTAACTTTTTTTTTTTTTAAAGATTTATTTATTTGCATACAGAGCTGGGGTACAGGCCAGAGGAGCAGGAGCGGTGAGAGGCTTTACCAGAGACAGAGTGGGGAGCAGAACAGGCAGATGGATGAGGTACACTACTGAGGGGAGCAGTGGGCCAGTCAGGAGAGGTCTGCCACGCCATGTGGTCACCTCCCTGGCAGGCGGGGATTGAACTCATGCGGAAGTGGCTTAAGCTTCTCAGTGCTGTGCTTTAACCCACTGCACCACCAGGGAGGCCCGAAGGTGCTAATTTTTTACTTAGTAACTAGTTTCCAGCAGCAGGAAAGTCAGATTCTGTTTTCCCAAGATTTCCGGACACCCCCTCAAAATAGAGCCTCAGCTGCCCAAGTAATAGTGTATTCTAAAATTTAGAGATAATTTTCCCATCATTAAATCCCATTCTCATTTAAAATTTTGAAGTAGGTGTAGAAAAATAATTACTTTGCATCTGACTGTCCTCTTGCCTGGTTAAGTTGTACTGCTTTTGTGTGGGTTTTTTTTTTTTTTTCCTGTCTGACAAGAACTTAATTGTGTGAATGATCCATTCCAGAGCTAGACATAACTCTTCCACCCTCTGACCTAGCCCAGAGACTCTTTCACTGTCACAAAACAGCAAAGGAACTGTTTGACCTTTTGTCCCTTTCAGACAGGATCTGCCAGAAGCATCCCTCGACAATGTTATACATTCATATTTTCTATAAATTGAATATGGACATTCAAGCATGACTGAACAGGCATTGAAGATGTAATTTGGTGAAATGAATTAACTCTACCCTTCTATAAATCTCTTGCTTCAGATAATTATAGATGAAAGATGCTCGTTTGGATTGGATTCTATTTATTCATATATTTATTTTAGTAAGTGGTGAGGGCAGAACATAAAAATGCAGAGTTGAAAGACAGATTGACTTGGATTGAATTGATAAGAAGTATGTGGGGCTTTTTGGCTTTGGATCAATATTTGTATTCAGTCTGCCATCTGAAGTATGTATAATAAAAAGAAAACAGGTGGGAGTAATATCTGATTATAGCTTCTTCCCAGTTTATATTCTAAATTAAAAGATAAATAAAGCACTAAGAGTAGAAAGCAACCTTAATCACCCTCATTGAAATGATTCAGTAGGACTTCCACAATGATGGCATCTTACTAAGTCATGGTCATCACCCTTCCAGACATTTCTGCTATTGCAAGGTCCTTGACAGCCCCTGATCAGCTAAGCCCCACTTAGCTCATGAGCAATGAATTTATAGCCATTATTAGCTCACTGTGTGGCAGTTTCTGGAAGACCTTTGTGAAGTCAGATATTAAAGTGGTTCTTCAGCTGTCATTGAGGCAGCTGATCATTGAATTAACATAGCTCATGACTCTGCAGTAACTTTCTGGTATATTTTTGCTGTTCATAATTGTTACTAATGACTACCATTTGGACATTGTGTTATAGTATGAAAATTTTTAGTATGTCAATATATTGTGGATCTTACTTGTATCTTACTGTAACAAATTCATTTGGTTTAATGAAAAATTAGTTCATGTAGGGGTTGGTTATTATGATTTCCTAATACTGAGAGAAAATAACACAGTAAAAATGAAGTTCACTGCTCCAAGCCTCCATAAAGCTAGAAACACAGACCTTTATAGTAGTCAAAGAGTCTTGCATCTTAAGCCCCAGGCCCACTTTGACCTCTAATTTCCTTCTTTACATAGGAAGAAGTGACTAAGAATGTAAAAGAAAGTAATGGTTGAGCTCAGAGACATCCTAGTAAAGAGAAACACTGGAAATAAAAAAATAAAGGGTCCTGGACCCAGCATTGTGTTCAGTATACATCAATTTGTTTCATGAGATTATATTCATATTTGTTCTCCATAACTTCTAGAATCATCCATGAAAGCACATAGATAGATGAAGGAACTTTGGCAGGAAAGATTAATATCCCTCCCAAAGTGCTTAACTTTTGATACTGCAAGATGATACTCTAAG